TAATTTACATTTTCTATTTCACAAGATCCATTGCAGGCAGTGGCTCCCTAGGTATTTCATTGTTTCCAGTATTATTTTCTGAGTTCGACTTGTTTTAGTTGCATAAAGAAGTGCTTATCTAAATTAAAAGAATAACAAAACTATGTGAAAATGTAAATAAAATAAAACGCTAATTTCTGTTCCGAAATATTATTTTATTATGTGCGTGACTGGGAAAATCACAGCATTGAAGTTTCTGTGAGCAAGCATTTTCCATTTCCAATTCACTGCAGACAAGGTGCCTTTCGTGATAAAATTGCTGATTAAGTGATGTATATACTGTATTATTTTTAGTATTTTTAGAGCTTGTTTTATGTTACATTTCTTGAACTGCAACAGATCTACATTTATTAAAAACCCTCGGGAGAAATGGGTTTATCTCAAATGCAAGTGGTACATTTATTTATATACAGGCTTAGGAAATTCTACATAGATTCCAGATTAGAACTTTGTTGACATCCCTTTCTCAGCTCTAACATGTTCATCATAAACCTTTAAAGGAACATTCTCCAAACCCCTAAAGCTACGTCATCTCACCACTGGATTAGAGGTAAATTAACTCTTTGTTTTGCAGCTTTTGGGGTGAGAGGTCCCGCAGGCTCTCCAACACTCCCATCAATATAAACAAAAGTATTTATTTATAACACTGGAGTGTTCCTTTAAATCACTAATTCTAACACTAAATTCCTTTAGACAATTACTTAAAATCCCTAACTCTATTCCAAAACCCCAAATGATGCAATAATAACCTCAATCATGCAGAAAAAGACACACAAAGTAGTAGTGCCAACAAATCCCAATCCTGATGTTGGCAAACTCAACGCTGTGAGTTGTTCCAAGTGTGAGAACTCAAAGGTCTCTATATTTTGTAATTCAGGTGGTGCATAAACAAGTAGTTTATTTTTTTGTTTTGTTTTAGGATCATTGCCCAAAGAAGGTAGCCATACAGTTTACCCCACTAAATGATCGCACTAAGGATATGTTTAAGAATCGCTGAATTCACTGTGTTGACTGTAGAATGTATGCATCATTCTGGTGATAAATTATCATTTCATTTTTCATTGTCATTTTATATAGCGCCAACAGATTCCATAGCGCTTTACAATACTATAAGAGGGGGGATTTAAGTATAACTAGGACAATTCCAAATGAAAACCTTATGGGAACGATAGGTTGAAGAGGACCCTGCTCAAACGAGCTTACAGTCTATAGATAAATGACTACATATCTGTAATGCTTGCATATTTCTCTCTCCACTAACCTTTGATGGGAGCCGATAAATCAATGGAAGGAACACAAACCGATTACTGATTCATATGTAGCTTTTGGTGATTGCCGTCAAGAGACTTTCATTGTAGTTTGCAAGATAAGCATAAGGAAGGTCCCCAAAACATCACACACTTGTTTCAGTAAATCAATAGATGACTGCAGCAAATCGCTTAATTAAAATAAATTATAATAAAGCTGAGTTTTGGGGGTTTTTTTGCCAAAATTTTTTGCTATTCATATTTTAATTCACTACAATTTGGAGTTCATAAAAGATATATGTAACATAAGATTATCGCCATTTTATGTTAAAAGCTTACTCACCTGGTAGAGGGAGGAGGCATGCTGCACATGGGACACTCTTGGACTTTCCAGCATGACAATGACCCTAAGCACAAGGCCAAGTTGACCCTTCAGTGGTTACAGCAGAAAAAGGTGAAGGTTCTGGAGTGGCCATCACGGTCTCCTGACCTTAATATCATCGAGCCACTCTGGGCAGATCTTAAACATGCAGTTCATGGAAGATGACCAAAGAGTTTGCATTTTGCCAAGATGAATGGGCAGCTATACTACTTGCAAGGACTGGGGACCTCATTGACAACTATTACATAAGTCTGCATGCTGTCATTGATGCTAAACGAGGAAATACACAGTATTAAGAACTAAGGGTAGACTTTTTAAAAACCCAGAGTGAAGAGGAAGAGGACAGAATGGTCTATAAGATTAGGCAGAAAGAGGCTAAGCAAGTTATATGAGCTTCCAAATCACACACAGAAGAGAAAATAGCAGTCAGTTAAAAAAAAAAAAAAAGGGGGGACAAAACATAGATACATAAATGAGAAAAGGAAAGTAAAAAGGATTAGTTAGATTAAAAACAAAAGAAGGAAGGTATGTAGAAGAGGATAAATGTCTAGCTGACTGCCTCAATTAATATTTACAGATGAAAATTAAGGAAAGGGACCTCAGTTAGGAAAAAGGACAAATGAGTCATTTATTACATGTGAGTTTACAGAGGAAGAGGTTCTATTTCAACTGTCAAAAGTAAAGACAAATAAGTCAATGGGACCTGATGGAATACACCCAAAGTTATTAAAATAGCTTAGTGGTGTACTAGCAAAACCATTAACAGATTTATTTAACCAATCATTGTTAACAGGCGTAGTCCCAGAAGATTGGAAGTTAGCAAATGTTGTGCCCACTCACAAGAACGGTAGTAGGGATGAGTCTGGCAACTATAGACCAGTAAGCCTTACTGGCCTATGGAAACCATGTTAAAGGATAGGATTGTTGATCACCTAAAAACACATGGATTTCAAGATCAGAGACAACATGGATTTCAAGATCAGAGACATCATGGGTTTACTTCAGGGAGATCATTCCAAACTAATCTTATTTTTTTTTTTTGACTGGGTAACTAAAATAATAGATCAGTGTGGTGCAGTAGACATTGCTTACCTAGATTTCAGTAAGGCTTTTGACACTGTTGCCCATAAAAGGCTTATCAATAAATTGCAATCTTTAAGTTTGGATTCCAATACTGTTGAATGGGTAAGGCAGTGGCTGAGTGACAGGCAACAGAGGGTTGTAGTCAATGGAGTATATTCGAAGCTTGGGCTTGTCACCAGTGGGGTACCTCAGGGATCGGTACTTGGACCCATTCTCTTTAATATTTTTAATAGTGATATTGCAGAAGGTCTTGATGGTAAGGCATGTCTTTTTGCTGATTATATTAATATATGTAACAGGGTTGATGTTCCAGGAGGGATAAGCCAAATGGCAAATTATTTAGGTAAACTAGAAAAATGGTCAGAATTGTGGCAACTGACATTTAATGCAGATAAGTGCAAGATAATGCATCTTGGATGTAAAAACCCAAGGGCAGAGTACAGAATATTTGATAGAGTCTTAACTTCAACATCTGAGGAAAGGGATTTAGGGGTGATTATTTCTGATGACTTAAAGGACCACTATAGGCACACTATATTTCACAGAAACTGCTATGTTTACCTATGGGTTAATCCAGCCTCTAGTGGCTGTCTCGTTGACAGCAACTTGGACATGGTGTCTGAATGAGGCCCTGCTCCAGGACGTAGGGGTAAAAGAGGAAATCACTCAGGCTCTGGAATCATACTTTAGAGAGAATGAAACAGATGAGATCACCAATATCAATATGGGAAGCCTAAGAGCGTCATACGGGGCACTCTCATCAGCATCGCAAACCGTAAAAGGAAGGACGCAACGCGAGCAATGACAGAAATATACAACACCATCTCACGCCTAGAACTCCAACACAAACGCACACAGTTAACCGAAACTTATGGAGAACTAATGGAAGCCAGACGACAACTGAAGAGCCTCCTCACGCAGAGATTCCTCCGATCGCTACAGCGATCAAAAAACTTCTTCTACACCCACGTGAACAAAGGAGGGAAGCTCCTAGCTCGCATGTTAAAAGGCGACACACCGCGCACACAAGTCCGGAAAATTCGTTTAACTTCGGGCAGCACATCCCAGTTTCCAGAAGAGATAGCCGGAGAATTTAGGAAATATTACAACTCCCTGTACAACCTCCGCCCACCAGAGGACACAGCCCAACAACGAAACTTATTAGAACAAACACAGACTTACCTACTAGACAACATGCGGGCAAAGGTAAACCCGGAAGCCGCATCCATCCTCGACGAACCAATTACAACAGAAGATCTAGCCATGGCATTAAAAAACACGAAAACAGGGAAAGCACCGGGACCGGACAGGTTCTCCACAGGTTACTATAAAAACTTTGCGACAATACTGCTACCAAAACTAACAAAAGCAATTACTAAACTAACAGACGGAGGACACCTTGGCACGGAATCCCTAACAGCAACTATAACTGTCATACTCAAACCTGGGAAAGACCCGGAACAATGTAGCAGCTACCGCCCGATCTCCCTGCTAAATGTGGACACTAAACTTTTCACGAAAGTACTGGCGACTAGACTACAACGGATACTGCCGAGTCTTGTCCACGCAGATCAGACGGGGTTTATCCCAGGACGAGAGGCTAGAGACAGCACACTGCGCCTGTTCTCCATTCACCACCACGCTACAAAATTTCAGAAATGCCAGAAGGCAACTGGACATATTTAACCCAAACACTTCAAGCCATGGGCATGGGACAGAGGATCATGACATGGATATCCGCCCTATATAGCACACCGAGAGCAGCTGTGCGCGTTAACGGGGCACTAACTACAAGCTTTGGGATCGCAAACGGCACCAGACAAGGATGCCCCTTATCACCACTTTTGTTCGCATTGTCATTAGAACCGTATTACAAGCGATCCGAGACCACCAGGACATTCGGGGCTACACATGGCAGGGAACGGAACACAAAGTCGCAGCATACATGGACGACCTTCTATTCTTTATCTCCCACCTACGGATCACACTACCCTGCTTACTGTCGGAAATGGATAAATTTGGGCGGCTGTCAGGATTCAAGCTTAATCTTGCAAAATGTGAGGCATTGAACATCAGCATACCCGCTGCAGAATATGAATCCCTTGGTCTTCTCTTCCCGTTCCGCTGGTGCGCAGGGGCAATGAAGTATCTGGGCATTTGGATACCCACAAACCCACAAGAGACATACCGGCTCAACTTCACCCCACTCCTACAACAAATCGAACTAGATCTGAAAAAGTGGGCCTACCCTCACATTACGTGGCACGGCCATATAGCGGTACTCAAAATGAATGTCTTGCCAAAAATACTTTATCTATTCCAAACCATACTGATAATGTTACCAGCAACATTCTTCTCAACCCTGAAATCGACAATCATTAAATACATATGGAGAGGGGAACTATCCAGACTGCGTCATGATCTTCTGTGCCTGCCCAGACACAAGGGGGGCCTGGCACTGCCAGACTTCAAAAAATATTACCAGGCTACAACGTATTCTAGACTGGCATGAATCGGAAACGACTAAACAATGGGTAACCCTTGATCATGGGAGGAACACGTCGAAACTAAAGGCACTGATATGGCAAAAACAAACAAGTAGGGGTGCAGGAAGAAGAGGGGAGGACCCAATCACACAAACCCTGCTCACATGGGAATCTATCAGGGAAGCACCGCAAATCTCCCCGACCCCATGCCCTCTAACACCGATAGCACACAACCCTGACATAGGTGGCGGACTACCACTAAAGTCCTGGACATTCCTAGGTGAAGCAAACTACATACCAATATGCAAAATCACCCAGGGGGTAATCTGAAGACACTAGACACATTGCTGGAGGGCCAACCGCAATCCCCAATGTCGATACTCCAATACATGCAACTAGCACATTATTTCCACTCACTCCCACACAAAGAAAAGCTACAAAGAGATTTAACATGGTTTGAAGACCTCTGCCTACGAGGAACATCGATAGGAAAAGCTATATCGACCCTCTACCAGTACCTACTGACCAACGCCACCACAGAAAACAACACCTTTCAGCGGCAATGGGAGAGCGCCATGAACAAAACATTCACACCGACCCAATGGGATAAAGCACTGCTATGGCAACACAAAAGCTCCTCCAGCTCACACTACCAAGACGTTAACTATAAACTGATCTCCATGTGGTATAGAACACCAGTATTACTACACAGGATCTTCCCCACAACACCACCAACATGCTGGAGATGCCAGGATAAGAGGAATTATCAGACACATCTGGTGGGAATGCACCCATATCGTCCCATACTGGAACCAAGTTAAATCAGACACTCAACTGATCCTCGGAGACGACACTGGATGGTCAGAGGAACTGGCCATGTTACACATCTCTACACAGCCGCTATCCAAATATAAAAAGTCAATACTAAGTCATCTGCTGAACGCGGCAAAATCGTTGATACCAGTATATTGGAAAAAATCGAACACTCCCACAAGGGAGGAATGGATCCACAGAGTCGAAGACATTAGGGCGGCTGAAGCGCTCCAAGCGGAGCTTGCAGGTCGGGGAGCGAAATGCGCAAAGGCTTGGATGCCGTGGTTCACCTTCTGGGCGGGCGCATAGGGGGGCGGTCGGCCGTGGTGCGAGGGGCGACGCGGCTCCCGCCACAAACCTACGCTACATGCCACACCCCAAATACCCTCATACGCAAGAAAACATGAACATCAGACTGAAACGCACTGACTATATACCTCACTTAGGGATGAGAACACCACAGACGACAACACCTAAAGGGGAAAACGGGAGAGAAAAGGAGGTTGACGAACAACTGGAACAAAGCCCCACCTCTATAAGCCTGACAGGCCACGTTCAAATGACTGACGGACAGACGAGGAACTGACTAGCCTCGTACGACACCTCTTACCGAGATAACATAAGACAACAGTAGCTAGCTACGACCCCAACAGCTCCAACGCCAAAGACGCGACCACGGGCCAACAGGATACCAGACAGGACAAAACCAACCCCCGGACACACATGCGACACACCTCCACCGCGTCCGAGGGGAACCCAGGAGAATCCACGCCCCCTGCCCCCATAGTCCTACGCAACACACTACGCCACACTACACGTCACCAAAATATTACACCCCATTTAAGCATGAACCATCCTGCCCGCTTACACAAACTAAAACACCCCTCCACACTCTCACACACATACAAATCTTAACGAGATATAACACCTATAATGACACACCTTCAAGGCACCAGGGGATGCTAACACACCCCCCCGTAATCTTTCACACGAAGAGCCCAGGCGGAAATACACTCAGCTACTCATTGCAATAATATGACAACCTATGCTGAGTAAAGTTGACACAATGGAACACTTATATTTATGGTATAACAACACTGAATGTAACTTCCACTGTTATGATTGCCATAATGTTGTGATGTATATTCTATATTGTAACAATGTCTGAAGGCCTGCGTGCCTAAATAACTGCTTATACTCCTACAATAAAAACACTGATTAACCAAAAAAAAATAAAAAAATCAGACATTCAATTACCTGGAATTCTCCATACAAACCACCTGGAGATACTTATACTTTCAGTCTTAAAGGATCTCTCCACATCCATTAAGCACTTCATATTGCTGACATTCTTTTTTTGGTGAGGAGTATATACTACTTTAACCCCAGTCTATAAAAGTTCTATGAGAACTTTATATGTAACTTGTGGAACACCCCGCCGGGGCGGTTTGCTTGTTCCTTCCGTTAGTTTCCTTAAGCTAACGGGAATTGCATGCGTTCCCTACTTGAGAGCTTCAGAGGCTTCTCAATGTCCTCTGATTGGCAATTTCCCAGGGACTGATTGGCTGTTTCCCCAATAGAGACTATTAGAAAAAAGGGAGGGCTTGCACAGGCTGCATTTCATAAGAACTGTGAATTATATTTTATTTTGCCGAATTGGCCAGTGGAGTGTCCCTTTAACTAGTACTCTGCCTGTAAATATTGACTAATTGTGTGAGGGGCAAATAAGGCCGTAAAGGAAATAAAAAGGGGGGGAATAAGTCGGTTGTGGTGTGCCGGAACCGACGTCGTGGTAGGCCTGTAATAAAAAAGGGCCCACCCATGAGGTGTAATGAAAAGTATAAATAAAGGGAGTGGAGGGTGGGGACATGCTAATTGTCAAAAAACGAATGGGACTGAGGAAGGTGAGGAGGGGGTTTAAGTAGGTTAACATGCCCCTCCCACAGCTGCAGGCCAAGCCTTCACATTTGTGTGAGGGGCAAATTAGGCCGTAAAGGAAATAAAAAGGGGGGGAATAAGTCGGTTGTGGTGTGCTGGAACCGACGTCGTGGTAGGCCTGTAATAAAAGAGGGCAAAAAGGAAACATGTTTAACAGCAATCAACAACCTTAAATAGCCTATCTGTATGGTAACAGCTGAGTGTGTAATGAGGTGCCCGGCGCTTTCAACGGCCCTCTAACTTGTGTAAGGGGAAGTAAGGAAAACATGTTGGCCATCTAGTGTAGACTGGGTGTGGGGCAGAGAAGGTATAAAAAATAGACTGCATAAATAGGTGAGATTTCCTGAGACAATGCTGCAAAAACCGTGGTGACTGTGGGAGATATGTGTGTCCACAAGAAGCTGTATAGCCGCTTGACAACTAGACTGCCTAGTGACCTAGCTGAAAAGACTAGCGTCCCCCAAATCCGGCCTACCTCACATCTGTGATTCAATGGTTGATCCAAAAGAAGGCGAAAAACCAAGTTTGATGCGCTTTCCAATTTGCAACAAGTTGGGAAAAATTCCTTCTTGACCCCAGAATGGCAGTCGGATTTATCCTTGGATCAAGCAGATATCGCCCTACATTGAAAGTTGATGCCCGATCGTAATGACAAGTATTAACTAGGTCTGATAGTGATTATAAAACTTGGATGTAGATGGGAAATCTGGAGATTGGAAATTCCCAGAACCTGAACCCTTGAGTTTGGTAATAAACTGGTATGAGGACATGAAAAGGCGTGTGACTAGAAACCTGTACAACATGTGAAGTTATAGACTGGATAGGTAGAGTTGATGCAAGTAAGAGGTGGCAAAAGAAGGGAAAGTCAATCGCGGACAACATATCAACAGAGACCGTACACGTGATATGTGAGACCGGAGCCTCGAAGGGGAAGAAGGTCCGAAAACACAGGCACTGCGAGTGCTAGAAAGAAGAGAGCCAGACGTGAAAGATGGCAACCACAAGCTTACAAGGCTGGCAGCCTACGAACAAGCCCAGAAAAGCCGGGAATGGTAGCAACTGCGGGAGAGGCCATAGGCAGGGCCACATAAGAAAACGTAAAGGAGGCACAGGACTGATCGTACGAAAGAGGTGCGGGAAGACCGGTTCAGATCCAGCCAAAGCGGCAGATGCCAGTTACCCAAACTGCCATCCGACACTGCCCCATAGCCGACAGCAGCGATACCTGTGTAGGTGGACAGACACTGAGAGGACAGCTGACTGGAAGGCTGCCACGGGGGGGGAATAAGCCGACTCGCGAAAATCGCAGCGAATCGAGGAAGCGCCCATGACCGGAGAAAAAAAAATAAGCATAGCCAAAACTCCACAGGGCGATGAGATCCAGACCTGCTAGAAAAGAGACGAAGAGAGACCCCGCATAAGCGACCCAACATGCGCGTGAGCCAAAAGGCGAAAAAATTAAAACTAGGTTTGGTTACAGGTGAGGCCCTGCTAGATGCCAAGCGGCGTAAGAGGCTCTATCTATGCGTTGGCGCGAGGGGATAGCGTAGCCACTGAAACGTTGTGGCGAGGTGTCGGCCTCTTGGTGACAGCTAAACATAAGATAGAGTGGGAGTGACAGGTGAGGCCCTCTCTATGCCACAGTGCGAGGCGACTAACTGTGAGTGGCCGAGGGGGCGTAGTACCTCCGAGTATGAGGATGGGTGTTGGCCTCGCGGGACCCCTAACCTAAGGCGAAGAAGCCAGGGGGGGAATTACAAACTAGTGGACACCTAGGGCCATGACAGCCAGCCACAGCTAACTAAGAGGGGAGGGAAGGCAGTGTGAGAGGACAGATGTGCTGAAATGTGTATTGGAACCTGTGAGGGCGAAACGAGGAAAACCGTAGTGCCGACTGTAACCGAAATCAGAGTAAGCACGACAGAGTCTGGGCGGACAGGCTGAAAGGAGCAAGCTTGGCAGTAGGTAACAGAAACTGTGGTGGTGTAAACCCCACGGGGGTCACGAGACCCAGTGCGAGTGTGTGGTGTGTGTGAGCGTGAGCGCTGGCATACTAGCTAAGCCAAAAAGGCGAAACAATTAAACTAGGTTTGGTGACAGGTGAGGCCCTGCTAGATGCCAAGCGGCGTGAGAGGCTCTATCATTACTTTGGCGCGAGGGGATAGCGTGGCCACTGAACGTTGTGGCGGGGTGTCGGCCTCTCGGTGACAGGTAAACAAAAGATAGAGTGGGAGTGACAGGTGAGGCCCTCTCTATGCCACAGTGTGAGGCGACTAACTATGAGTTGGCCCGAGGGGCATAGTACCTCAGAGTGCGAGGATGGGTGTTGGCCTCGCGGGACCACTAACCTAGGCAAAGAAGCCAGGGGAATTACAGCTAGTGGACACCTAGGACCCTGACAGCCAGCAACAGCTAACTAAGAGGGGAGGGCAAAGAGTGAGAGAGGGGACGTACTGTGTGAAAAGAAAAAGAGGGGGCGGGGAACGAGGAAGAAGCGTAGGGGCAACCGCGACTGGAGGGCAGAGTGAGCCTGACGGAGACCAGGTGTGCAGGCTGATATGGAAGCACACATGGGAAAAAGAAAGCGCATGAGCATGTACAACCCACGGGGCCCATAGCAGGAGAGGAAACTTGAACGAGACACACCTGGCCATTTTTTTTTTTTTTTTTTTTTTAACTTCAAAATACAATGACACGCGCCATCTAACCAAGCCAATCATCAGGGACACGAAGAAGAGAGAGATGTACATGAGATGGCATATGGCCGTGCTGTAACTTGGCTCTACCAAACCCAAGTAAGGTGCAGGCATTGATCCGCCCTATGTCAAAAACGGCCAAAGACATAGCAATTGAACCAGCGGAAGACGCCATGTAGGGGAACCCTAGATCAGCACTTTCAGAGGTTCTAGGTAAACCCTATGCCCCCAAAACTCACCGCACATAGAAAACCTACATGTAAAGTCACCCAGGTAAACGTCCCTGAGAGGTGTACTACGTGTTCAGTAGGTGTAAGGGGAAGCTCACTAGGGAGCATTGATATGTATAATGGGTTAACAAACGTGCAGAGCCAGCGTGGCCTCAGAATCCCCCCGTTAATCCCTGCTCCCTGGGCTTCGTTAGGACTGAAGGAGACTCGCCCGCCTGCTAGTAAGAAAAGAAAGACTCACAACCAGATAGCACACAAAAACAACATACATGCAATTAGAAACAGCACAAATATCTGCATAAATAGCAAGCCTGTCTGCTTTCCCCAAGGTAAACTCTGACTCCTGCAGTAAGGTAACCAGTGAGCTGGGAATAGCATGGGAGAAAGCAGGTAACAAATCACATACACTGATAGCTATTCCACCCTGCTACCAGCAACTTCAAGCCCTAAGGCCGGAGATATTTTGCCTGGCAGGGCATCCAAAATCTGATGCAAGGACCTTTCATATACAGAACGAGCTATGCAGAAGCCTCCTACCTCACCCAACACTGCACCCGACACACGCTTGCGTGGCCGCATGGACGCGCGACCGTCGGTGAGTGCAGACGCGAAACTTGCGACAGAGCCGACGGCAGCGAGGGGGCTGACAGCCAAGAACGCCGGAGAAAGAGGCACGACAAGCCGAGCCGCCAGTGGAGACGAGTAACACCGCAGCAGAACGAGACCCAAGAAATGACCCGCAAATATGGAGACCCAAGGTTTGGAGCAAGCCACGAGGAACAGGAAAGGAGAGGAAGGACGACCCGACATGCTAATTGTCAAAAAACGAACGGGACTGAGGAAGGTGAGGAGGGGGTTTAAGTAGGTTAACATGCCCCTCCCACAACTGCAGGCCAAGCCTTCACATTTACGGTAAACCTGAATGTAGCCACTGCTGGCTAGCTATGTAATGTAGCACCATGATAACACTAGATACCTATAGGGTTTTATTCACTAAAAACAAACACTTGTGAGAACATTGGCATAAAACATGCAATTTCCTTGAATATTTCCAGGTAAATCAATATCTTCCTTACTGATCCACATTTAGACTCATTGTATATGTATATCTGCGTGTTTATGTCTACAAAAGGAAAATATACAAGTAGGATGAGGTTTGAAGTCACAGGTCCACAACATTAAATTTAAAAACCTAACAAACCAACATGACAAAAGCTCCTTTTTTAAAGAAAAAAAAGAAATGGAGAAGCAAGGGGTTTTAGTTCCTGTAACACACGTAAAGCTTGTGAAACACAAAGACTATTATGGACAAAGAAGATTTGTTACCGGAAAAAAATGTTTTTATAAAATCATACAGCAATTGATATAAGAAAAATGGAGTGTATTTGCTTCAGTGACCTTGAGGGAAACAAAATGTGGGCAGAACATGTAGAAAACGAAAGGAGAGAACACAATCACAAATATATAAATTGTCTACAGCATTGTAAATACAGTGTTATTGTTATACATAAAACATTTGTTGTTATAAATTTTTTTTAGATATTTAACACAGTAACATACATGTACAAAATTCATACTCTAAAAGGGAGAGGAATTGAAAAAAATATAAGACATAAATTAATGGTATATAAACACATATAACATAACTGAGAGCGGCGGAGATGTTGTAAACATCTGGCATTCACCCAAGGATGAACAGTTTTTTTAAAATAGAATTTAAAAAAATATATGTATATAAAGTATAAAAAATTACACAATTCCAAATACTTGTTCATGCCATATGGAATCAGTGTATTAAATTCATATATTTTCTTCATCTCTGCCCTTCCCATTTTCTGATTGAAGTCACCTCCTCTCTACTCGTGTTGTACCTTCTGAATGCCTTTGAAGCTTAATAGAGAGGGGTCACTGTTATGGTGGTCCCTAAAGTGAAATAAAAACCTGGTGCTTCTCAAATTTTCTTTTTATATTGTACACTGTTGTATATTAATCTCCGCCGCTCTCAGTTATGTTATATGTGTTTATATACCATTATACCACAATTGTCTTTTGTCTGATACATATCAATTTATGTCTTATATTTTTTCTATTTTTTTCAATTCCTCTCCCTTTTAGAGTATGACTTTTGTACATGTAGTATGTTACTGTGTTAAATATCGACTTTTTTTTTTTTTATAACAACAAATGTTTTATGTAGAACAATAAGACTGTATTTACAATGCTGTATGAGTTTATTTATTTGTGGCTAAATAACTGTACATTTGTTTATTGAGCACAAGGGAATGTGTGTGATCGACTCCACTTTTATATAAAGGTTGGACTTTTATGACTGAACCAATAGGAACAATCAAGGGCCGAACGATTATTGCCCTTAAATGTTTCCCTACTGCAAATGGAAGCTATACTCCTCACGTTCTGAGGAAGCTGGAAGGCGAAACGCGTAAATGTAAGCACACAATGACGTCACCGAGGTGGGTGGCACCTATAACCCAAACAGTGTACTGTAAGATTATCATCATGAACGGACATCCGAAGGGCGGCTACAGAAAAGCTGTACTGCATACCCTACCTTGCTTGGATATCAACAAAAGCAAATATGAGTAACATCACTGCTGATGAATAATAAATGTATTATTGGGCTGGGAATTGGTATTAATGAAGAAAGATTGTATTTCTTAAGTATTAGGGAATCGATGTACTAGGTGTAGATTGCAAAAGCTTACACTGGAAGTACATTTTTAAAAATAGTATATTTTTTTACAACTTGATGCTGCTATTCTGTTCAGAGGCCAACTGTGTTTCATTGCCCTTCTATGTAAATGGTACCGTGACAATAAAGTTAAATCTGAATTTTATGTAATCTCGATGGAACAAGGTACCATCTATAGAGAATTTTAAAGTGAATCTCAAATTGATTGGCACATTGTGTAATACCTCTAAAGGCAAGAGGGAAACTGAGCCAATGCTCCAATTTATATTGTGTACTTCATCATGTTTCCCATGTTATCATATATATTTAATTGTGGGCCTTGAGGAAATATAAGAGTGCAAAATGAAATAGTATTTTTAAGATTTGGATTAAGGAGACATTTTATTTTCTAAATTAGTCATTTGAATGATTGATGTTGAAGACTGTTATTGGTAGATAAAGAGATTGTTCTAAAATAGTGTACGATTTTTGGTAGAATGGCCATCTTCATCTACCTAGCCATGAGAGTTTGAGTTTACAACATCTTTTGAACTCTTTCTGTAGGCCAGGCCATGCATTTTGGCTAAATCTTTGCATACATTTATACTAAGGTATTTATTAATTTATTCTCTCCATTTGGAAGGGTATTCTTCCTTAAATTTTTCTAGATTAAACCTTTGAATTTAAAATGAAAGGTCCCATGTTTTGTGAGAATTAATTTTATAATATGATACTTCACTAAATTCATTTACAAATTAAATCACATGATCTAATAGATTTTTTGGGGTTGTTAATGGATAATATGATGTCATTCTCAAACAAACCTGTTTTATGGGTCGTATCACCAATAGTAACACCTTCTTTAAATCAGCCAAAGATTCCAATGCCAGAATAAATAATGTTGGAGACAACGGACAACCTTGTCTACTATTTGTAAGCAGAAAATTGCCAGATTGGAAATCAGAAGCTGAGACTTTTGCAGGTGGGTGAGAGTATAAAGCAAATACTGCCTTAATGAACACTGGTGGATTATTATTTTTTTTCATAACTTCTTCCAAATTTCCCCAGTGTATAGCATTGTACTCTTTTTTTTTTTTTTTTTTGCATCCAAAGAAAGGCGCAGAGAAGGCGTTAGAGTTACTTTAATTTGATGAATCAAATAAATATAAGACTGGTTCCATATGAGGCTTGTCTTTCCAAATCCGACCAGATCTTTATTAATGAAATTAGGAATCAGTTTTGCCAATTGATTTACTAATATTTTTGCGTATAATTTAATGTCAACGAAGTTGGTCTAAAATTTGTACATTTATTGGTAACTGCTTTTGGTAAAGTAATTATATGTGCACAGAGGGCCTCCTCTGACCTTTTTTCAGTACATCAATATGTGTTAAATAATTTTGTTAAATATAAGTGAAAAAGACTTCTGATATGTTATAGTGAATCCATCAGGGCCTGGGGCTTTACCATCAGGAGAGAAAGAAAGGTTTTCATTAAATAGGTCTGGAAAAAGTAGGAAATCACTGGAGAGGTGGAAACATCATTAAAAAATTAGCACAAAGAGAAACATATTAGATAAATGCATTAAAAACCTTACAACCAGAGGGATTAAATGTGGAGATAGATCTATGGTGCTACTTAGAATTATTTTGTTCTCTCCACTAGATACATTCTGCCTTCTTTGTGTTGAGGGACTTGTTCTTTTAGTTTTGTACATATGTATATGCACTTTTCTGCTGGATCCATATATATACTTATCACTTTTTTATCAAGTACATTAATATACAGTATGGTGTTTTGTTTTTTTTAAATCTACATTTCATGATATTTTCATTTCGTCTTTTATATATTGTTTATATATATATATATATATAATATATATATATATATTTTTGTTTTACAAATTATTTTTTTTACAAATTATTTTTTGCATACCCTTTTTTTCATCTATATTTATGTATTATCTTTACAATTTATCATTCATTATATACAGATTTTGTATTTAATTTTCTTATTTTACATATCTTATCATCAAAAAATTGATTTTAATTTTTACATATAGGTTCCCTTTATTAAAGTATTTTATCTCAAGTATTTCCCCCCTCCCCTACCCCCCACACTCCCTTTATGTATGTCTTTTGTTTTCTCTATGTGACATGCATCCATGCTTTGATTTGACATTGCCATGATCAGGCAGAGACTCTCCTCAAGTGGAACACAAGCAAATATAGTGTGGAAAGCAACGAAAATGTCAAGAGTACCAGGAAGCATTTCAACAACGGTACGACTAAAACACATGAGTGGCATGCATGCTGTTGTCGTGTTCAAAGCACAATGACTTCGGAAGCATGGAAACCAAGTGGGACTAAATTGGCTTCACCTGGGATGGAGGAGAGGACCTATAGGAAAGTCGCTGGAGTATTCAAGAGGGGTTTATAAGGACTTTGGTGGGGATGTGGTTTGTATCCTTGTTTGGATTTGTGTATAATAGCATCTTACCTGAAGAAGTCCCTGAGTGGGGTAAAACATATAGGACTTGTGGTAGCTCATTATATCCAATGTTTCTTACCTATGTATAAGTATATAAATCGCCTACTGTACTTTACCTTGTGTTATACTTCACACTTTATCTCTTTTTATACATGGTACTGAAATTAAGAATGTAACCAAGGATACTAGAGGACATCTTTATAAAATATTATTCATAACTATGCTCAAATGTGACTTAAAAAGTGTGAGTGGACAATTTAAAAATTGGCCTATGTATACAGTGTTGTGCATTTTTTATTTTCCTTAGAAGAACTACCTCCACACATTCCATAAACCAACATAACATGCAGAAATCTGTAGCGCATGTTCCATCTCCACCTGTGCTGTACTTGTGGACATCGGATGACTTCTGCAAATGAAGATTATTGGGATTCAAGCTATGGGTGCAGTCTTCGTTCCAGGAATGAAAAACTATAATTTATATCAGTTAGTAGGTTTCGTACTCTACATGTATAAATGTATATGTTCTGTTTCTATTTTGGATATTTTGAAGATCCTTGTAAGAGCTCTCTGAATACTATGCAACTCATAGTTTCTTTAACCCAGCCATTTTCCATTTGAATGTAGATAAAGTTTATTTTATATATGGGATATGTATAATATGCACTTTAATGTTTAACTG